GGGGGGGAGATGGTTAGCTTAAAAGTTACTTCTGGTAACTTAGTTCAGACTCCTCAAATTAATAATACCTGATCAAGTAATTATCGATTGGTCTGATTAATATACTAGTTAACGGAAGAATAGTTTGAATACGAATTTGTTCATTCGAAATGCTGCAGTGTTGAAAAATGTACTCTACTAGACTCTACCAGACATTGAAGTTACTAGGTCGAAGTAAGCTATAAGTTTTTTGTAAGACTTGTTACGGTTAATCTACTGTTAACTGTACGCAGTGTTAAACTGTCGATAGTTTGAAGCATAACCACTCTATGCCACTATATTGCTTGTCCCTATTTTTCCAAAATTCTAGAAAAAAAATTTGGTCTAATTCTAATCTGATTTTTTTCAACAAATTAAGTATATTGCTGATGTCGCTTTCACTTGGTTCTATTAGGCATTTCATTAGCAAAGGGGAAAAAGAAGTGTGTTTATACTGGCAAAGATGAGGTAAAGCGTTTGTCATGAAGAAATGGCTCTTCAACAGGATGGTGGAGAAGGGTAGATGAAGGGTTTGTTTTTGAGCGTCTTATTGCATTCGCAGATTCGAAAAATTTTTTCTCCCCATTGCTGCAGTTACCTCCGAGGCAGCAGCTGTAGCTGCCGAGCAGGAAGCGCTTGACAGAGAAGCGCCAACTCTTGAACATCGTCTACGTGCCACGATGGGCACTGGTTCGCCTGAAGAGGAAGTTCTCATGCGACGATGGTTTCAACTAGTTTCTCGGCGCAATGCCCTTGTTCATCGCGCCTATCAGCTCTCCATTATGTACGTCTCTCTTCCATTTAAAGCACTTCTTGAATATTTTACTAAGTGGAACAGAATAGAATCAGGTTTTAGTGGAGATCAATACTGGTTGGCAAAAGGCTAGTTAAGCTCTAGCGTTTAGAATTACGCTTCCAGAAGGAGGAGGAATAGAACAGTCTGTTAGAAGATTGAAGTAGAATTTAAGTTTAAAATATGACTGAATCAGAGAGTAGAGGTCAAATGCAGGTGTTAGAAGGGGGATCCATCGTTAAACCGAATAAAAGTAGAAGGACGACTTCAGAAAGATGGGCGACAAGCAAATCACGACCACGGCCATTCTTCATCACCTTAAAATATTCCATTTGATAAGTTAAAAGCAAGCAGGACAGGTCATTAGAAGATTAAAGTAGAGTTTAAGTTTAAAATATGACTGAATAAGAGGTAGAGGTCAGATTCAGGTAGAAGGACGACAAGCACATCACGACCACAGCCGTTCTTCATCACCTTAAGGTATTCAATTGGCTTGCTTTTGAGCTTTAAAATAATGGGTTAGTAGCAAGCAAGACTGAATATGTGTAGTTCATCGAAATTGGAAAGGAAAGGAGATGGTAGACTCAGAAGTGAGAAAGAAGAGGTAGGAGAAGACAAGCCAGCGTTATGATGGAATAAATTAGTGTTTGGTAACTGCTTTAAGATATATATTCTTTTGTGCGTGTGTTTCTACCGCATATTTATTTTGTCGTTCTTCCAGGGAGAAGGAATCCGATCTGGAGCGAACTACAGCTCTCCTCAACGCCGAGCTGAATGAACTTATGGCAAAAGACGGTGAGTCATTAGGAGCATTTAGCAAGAAATAGCTTTGTTTATTATGAATACAAGATCCATTTTTAATGTTTCAAAGTGCATGAACAGTTCTGTAGTGTGTGCAATATTTGGAGAGAAATTGGTGCAAAAATTTGAACAGAACTGAGGTAAACTATACATTGATCGCAGTAATCGATAAATACACAGTTGACACGGAAGAAGTAAGAGTGGGGAATGGTAAGAACAATGGATGGTTTCATGCGACTATAGTTTGTTAAGATGAATCCTCTTACTTTAACCTAACGACCATCTTGAAGTCAAACTAGTAGACACACGCCAGAAGGCCAAGAGCCATCGTGGGTAAGATGGACTGTGGCACCATGGAATTGTTGCAAATGACACTCGTCTATTCAGTCCCAACGCTATGACTTAATGTGGAAATTTGTGTCGCTTATTTCGAAGGTGAGGATCAAACTTGAGCATGCATAGTTCAACTATACTCTGGAGGATTTCAAGTTCACGATGGTTATTAAGGCGGCATAATGCAGGCATTCGATGACAAATTCAAATCAGAGATAACTTGGAATGGAGGTTTTATCAAAATATTAAATAATGGGGCACATGTAATTTTAGGCTTTTTTTAATCGATAATTACAGACAGCCAGAAGACAGCAGAAGACCGAGCTCGGGAAGAACTGTTATTGCGTGAGGTTGTGGAAGTGGTCAATGAGCGCAACGAAATCGTTCAGGAGTTGGATTATCAAGAACAGGCGTATGTTCCTCATTTCTCTCTCTACTCAAATCGCTGTTTAAAGCATCTAGAAATCTTGCAAATTTTCTTACTTACTGTCCAGTAGGAAGTTATTTATATATTCTGTTATCCCCTTTAGGCGGCCTTCTTTGCATTTTGATTGGTTATTAGTTGGTGCTTTCAGTGTTTAGCAGATAACAAGCTAACAGCAATTCCATCAAAGTGAAGCGCAAAGAGTCGTGGAGGCCAGTGGGCATTGACTAAAACATGGTTATGAATCGTGCGAGGGTAGATGAGACGAAAACGTTGATGCAGATAGAAGATCAGTATGTGTGTCTGCCTGCGTATGAATCAATTGGAAAAGAATACGTGTTGAAGTATGAGTACTGTGTACTTCTATGTTAAGTGCGACTGTTATGGAAAAAGTGATCACTAAACTCGGCTTGGTACGACAGATAGGAGTTTGCGTGGTAAGGACATAAGGACAATGAATCATTGTGGATAGGTAACAATTCCTGAAAATCAATCAGCTCACTCTTCAATAGAGAGTGAAACTGAGTGCAGTTGACAAAATCAAAAGTTCTTCAACACAATTTTCGTTAATTATTGCAATGGTAGAGTTATGTGGAAAGCTGACTAACTTCTGCAATCGTATTTTCAGCTTGGTGAATGAGGTTGAACTCGGTCTTCGAACAGACGCGATTACTCAGCAGTCCTTCCGATCTATTTCTGGAGGTGGCGGCGTCGGCGCCGGCGGCGGCAGCAGTGTCGGTGGAGTAGTGTCTGACGCTACTCGTGCTTGTACCATCCAGTGAAAGATGCGAAACACTCCCGAGAGAGAGAGAGAGAGAATAAATCGAATTGATTTTACTTCCTCCCCTACACTGTGTTATTTTGGCGGATCCTTCCTCCTTTATTTCTTCCATCTACTCTCATTCATCACCTCAATTTGTCTTCTTCTTCTTCTTCTTCTTCTTCTTTCTGCCATTTTATCTCCCTTTTCATATTTCAATTCTTTAGAGAGAAAATAGAGAGATGTGTGTGCAGTATTTAAGTCATCTATTAATCCATCTTCTTGTGGACACGTCCACGCATATATGAGAAGGTGTGATTAGTTGAAATTTGATCTTGTGCGGCTATCCAAGTTGCATTTGAAAATAAATTGTAAAATTAACAATAATGAAAAATTGTTCCAAGAAATTGAATCATTTTAATCTGGGATTTAATGAAAGTTGTTTTTAACTCGCAATGTGCTCAATTAGTATGTCAGTGAATATTTGTTTCATAAAATTCTTTTATTGCAATCGGAATGCTCAATAGTTGTGGCAGTTCACTTCCAATATTCTAGTTTCCTGAATCATGGATAATTTGTTGTGCAGCTAGTGTTTCAGTGATTATTTCAATGATTTATGGATGCATTGATTAATATGGGGCTTTCGATTTCCAATTTGGGGATGCCCTTTCGAGAGTTTGAAACCCTGTGCGAGTGCCTCCGAAGGTACTTCAACAAGGATACTAATGAAACTCCTCGAATTACTCATAGCCGATCATTGAAGCAAGAATCTCCTTGTTCTCTTCGTAAATTATTAACAAATGCGTTGGTTATATGAATAACATAGACATTTTAAATAAGCGGATGTATTTTAGAGAATTTTATTCATTTTTGAAATCATGAAATGTGAGGAGATAAAAAACACTGCAAAATGCCACTAAGGCAGAAAGCACCTCGGATCGAAAAATAGGAGCGATAAGGCAATAGTGATTGAAAAAGGCCGAACATTCTAATTTACCATTTCCATATCTCGTCCTGATATTCGGCAAGATGAGATTCCCTTTAAAGAAATTTGTCCTCAGTCGTCACTTCTGTGAAGTCATTTAAAAGCTTGTTTCTAGACGTCAATTGATTGCTGTTATTTTCTCAGAAATATCGAGCACATTACTGTGGCAGAGTTCGTGGATTACTTGTGTACGTTCAGGTGATATAGAATAGGTAATTAAAGTGGTTAGCGACCTCCAAGAGAGAAGAAAGTGGGTTAGATTCCATCTTTTATCTACCTGTCCAAAAATAAGTTTTGAATGTGGTGTCTTTTAAAGAAACTTGCTACCTCTTGGCATATAAAGTCCATAAAATGTTATTGGCAAGATGCTTTTTCCTCAGTCTAATGTGAAGACAGAGATTAACGCGAATAAGACGGATGAAAGTGATAAACTGAAATAGGCTTTCTTTAAACATTTATCCCTATTCCCTAATGAACTAAAAATTCGTTCACTCGTAACCAAAGGAGTATTCATAATCTGCAACCGACTCTATTATTCTTTCTCATACTGAAAAGTAAATCAAAGAATTGGGTTATTTTAGCTAATATTGGCCCAATTAGATGCTCATTTTCAGTCAACGCTGACAATAAAATGGGATCTACTATCTTATAGCTAGTAGTAAGAGAATAGTGATTTTACTTATTATTGATGGCTTTGGAAGTATTTACTTATATCAAATGGCAGGCGTTATGATAGTTATCATGGGGTGCGTGATAGACTTACCTCCACGTGGTGCACCCTGGGCAACTTATATTCATATGGCAAAAAAGTCTATTAACTGGCAGTTGACCTCTGACTTCAAACTAACATGACCCCACTATGTCATCTTTGAATCTCTCTTCTGCTCCCCCTCTCGATTTTTTTTTTCACTTTGATGTTCTTCCCTTGTGTGAAGCCTGAAGTCAACTAAAGGGCTAATGATAACNGTTATCATTAGCCCTTTAGTTGACTTCAGGCTTCACACAAGGGAAGGAACATCAAAGCGAAAAAAAGCCGAGAGGGGGGGGGGGCGGAACAGAAGAGTGTTTTGAAGATGTAAAAGGGACAGACACAAAGGTAGCAAAATAGTGAGGTGAGTACTATGGAAGTAGACGAATATAACATAGAGTGGGGTGATGGTAGTTTGAAGTGAGAAGTCAACTGCCAGTTAATAGACTTTGTTGCCGTATGAGAATATGTTGCTCAAGGTGCACCACATGGAGGTAAGTCTATCGCGCATCCCATGGCTTTAAAAGTAACAATTAAGATCCTTTGGAAACTGAGATAAAAAACAAAATCTAACACCTATTTTCTTTAAATCCTATAGTCTTTCGAGATCCCAGACATTTACGAAGACATAGTTTTTATAATGTCTTATCTTGTTTGCCTTTATAAATTAAGGTTGCGAAGAAAGCTTAAACCGTTCGCTTTAACCCTGTTATTACATCCCGGAGATATTTTTATCCTTGAAATGTTAAAGTTCACAATTTGAGGCTGTTAATTAGTGCAGGATTAAGCATTGGCAAATAAGTATGAATCAATTTTGAAGCTTCTAAGGCAACGCGCACCTACTTACTGATTAGGGTGCATGACGGAGACCATTTTTGAAAACAATTTACTCATCCGGTGACAGATCAAAGTTTTTGATAGTTGAAATCATGCCAAATAAGTTGCTTATTAGCAGATTTGATGAAGATTCAGTCGCATCATAGGACAATATGACACAATTTTTCACAACACAATGCCTGTTCCAAAGATTTAAAGGTTTTGCATTAACCCACTGACGCGTTTGGTATTGACCGAAACAGCGTATAAACACAGATGTCATGAATCCTGGAGAACGTAAATAGGTTGGTATGTGTGTTTGGTTTTCGCCCTATTTTTCGGAATGTTTGAACTGCATCAGCTCGTAAAATGTAAATGGTTTGTCTTAAAGCCTCTGTTTTTCGAGAACAGTTTGAACAATTTCCGGCATTACTAGACAATTGCCGAATGAAAGTGCTTTGCATACCCACTACCACTTAATTAATTAAAAGTATATATTTTTTCGACATTCGAATTTCAGAACATTTATAATAGGGCTTATTGAACAAAAAGGTCAAGTAAGATGGCAGATCTTCAAAGTCAGATAATTTTCTTTCTTTTAATAACGAAGCTACAAGCCAAACGATTGTGAATAAAGTGGCTTTAACTTAGAAGAGCTCACTGCTGTTCTTTCTGATTGATATCAGCAAAGAGATAAGCGTTGATTGAATTTATTTATTTATTTATATCGAATGGCAGGCATTTTGATAGTTATTGTTAGCCCTTTTGTTGACTTCAGGCTTCACAGAGGAGAAGGAACATCAAAGTGGAAAAAAATCGAGAGGAGGGGGGGGGGGGGGGGGGGAGGGAACATAAGAGTGTTTCACAGATATAAGAGACAGACAGATACAAAGGCAGAGAAAAGTTAAGATGAGTGCTGTGGAAGTGGTGGAATATGGCATACAATGGGGTCATGGTAGGCTGAAGTGAGAAGTCAACTGTCGAATAATAGACTTATTTTGCCGTATGCGAATACGTTGCCCAGGGTGCACCACGTAGAGGTAAGTCTATCGCACACCTTTTGATCGAATTAAGCGTATTCTCGGAAAGTAACAAGCTTAAAATTTCAAGAAATAATTAGTTTCTCAGATAACAAACAGATTGATATTTTCTGATTTCCCACATTGCACTGAGAACACCATTGTTAAAATTGTTCAACCAAATTCTGTGCATCGAAATGGTGTAATCATCTGCATTGCACTGAAAACATTATGCTCTATATGAACTGCGAGATTTTTTCCTATAGATCCCTCTTTGAATCTCCTGATCCAATAGTTTTTGCCGTCTATTCGCTGCTAATATTCCGCCACTGACTAGTCTCATTATTGGCCTGTGTATTTTGAAGGCATTAGGATTTAAAAGTGAAAAATCTTGAATCAGAGCCCATTTCTAAAATTTTACCTGGCATAAAAATGTCGAAAAAGGCCCACCATGCATGAAATTCATTCCGAGAATTAAAAAAAGCATCTCCTAGACAATTCTAGTTGAATGTTTATTGAAAGGCATGTTAGACTTACCTCCACGTGGTGCACACTGGACAAAAAAGTCTATAAACCGGCAGTTGACTTCTGACTTCAAACTACCACCACCCCACTGTATGTCATATTCGACCACTTCCACAGTACTCACCTTACTCCACTCTCTATCTTTGTATCTCTCTCTCTTTTACCTCTGTGAATTACTCATCTCCCCCTCCCATCTCTCCACTTTTTGTGACTTAGACACTCCTCCCCTCCATGAAGTCCGAGGTCAACTCAAGGGCTAATGATGATTATCATAAAGCCTGCCATTTGATAGAAGCAAATATCAAAGGTGTACACTAAACATTTAGAAATCCTACCACATCTGCTTTACAAATGTGATTAGCCAAGGGCGTTCACATATTAACATAAAGATTTATTATATTCTATGATTGAACAGACGGATATATATATATATATATATATATATATATATATATTTACTTCCATAGTTAGAATGGTAATAGCTGCACAAATCAAAGACATATCAATGGAATTCCAAGTAAAATGAATTTCAAAAATCAATATCGAAACAAATTTCATTCTTATCTTTTGTCAAAGTTCACACTTAGACATTTTAATGGGCCCTAGTGTTGGGCCAAAAATAAGCCTCATTGGTCAGGAGAGATAAGGGGATATCCTTTGAAGGCCTCAAAATCGGTGACCATTGAAAGTCAATCGCTATCGAGGTCGACTAATGAGCGTTACATTGGAAGTATCAACAAACAATTCAGACATATATTAAAACAACAATAGAATATCGTTCAATTTTTTTTGGATTACAACTCTATTTGATCCTTTTCTCTGAAAAAACTTGTGTCTTTGAGTCAAAATACACACCCAGGTGACTTTCCACTTCAGCTGCATCTTCAAATGATCACTCCGTGTAGCAGAAAATCAATTAATCGAGGTGG